TCTGTATGTGCTGTGTTCTATGTGTGTTGTGTTCTGTGTGTGTTGTGTTCTATTTTTTTTTTTGGTATTCTTAGTGTGTTGTGTTCTATGTGTGTTGTGTAATATATGTGTGGTGTGTTCTATGGGTGCTGTATTCTATGTGTGTTGTGTTTTTTGTGTGTATTTTTATTCTGTGGGTGGTTGTCGGGTGCTCTGGTATGGTGTGCTCCTTCTTTCCTATATCAGACATCTGTCGTCCTTCTCTCCCCTTCCTTTTTTGTGTTTGTTACTCTCTTATAACACTCTAATCTTTGGTACTTATATGACCTTAATGTGTTGCAAGTGTCATAAATCATTTGCTAAGGGGACTTTCGTGGTCTAGAGGATACAATGTTTGCCTCTAGTTCAATAGGTCCTGGGTTCGAAACCTGACAGCGATGGGAAATTTTCTCCTCTAAAATTATCTCCTTTCACCTCTTTTCCTGCTCTCTTACTATGGTCTGTCATCTGCTTTCGTCTCCAGTTTCTGCCCCCCCCCCCCCCCCCCCTCTTCTTTGTCTCCTCTGGGCTCCTGATTCTTTCTGCAGCCTTTCTACTGCTATTCCTTGGCTCCTTCTTACTGCTGTCTTTCTACTGCTACTCCTTGGCTCCTTCTTACAGCTGTCACACCCCTGATCTTAGGGAAGGCAGGATCCAACACCTAGCATTCTAGGATAAGGGCAAAAAATCTCGGAGTTCCGTGTGCAAGTTTCACACGTTAAAGATCCCTTGGTGCGTCTCAAAACCGATAAGAGTAGGCTTCGACAGTTACCTGGGCAAATTTCAAAATTCTTACCAAACTGAAAAATGTTTTATGTGTTCTGCGCGCTCACATGACCTTATCCTGTTGCGAGCGCCGTAAAACACTTACCAAAACGAAACAACATTTGCTAAAACAAAACAAACTTTGCGGGTGGTTGGCGGGTGCTCTGGTGTGGTTTGCTCCTTCTTTCCTATCAAACATCTATCATCTTTATCTCTCCTCCTTCTTTTTTATGTTTGTTACTCTCTTGTAACACTTCTAATCTTCGGCACTTATATGACCTTATTGTGTTGCAAGTGCCGTAAAACACTTGCTAAAACAAAAGCAAACAAAAAATCCCATGGTGGTCCAAAATTGGTAAGAGTAGGCTTTATTGTGTTGCAAGTGCCGTAAAACTCTTACTAAAACTAAAGACGATCTTGTTGCCCCAGGCTGTCCATAGACGCGCTACAGACGCGCGTGAACAAGCTGGACATTCTGAGCACCCTCAGGGAGCAGAGGTCAGAGTTCACCGAGCGCATGATGAGCCGAGTGTACCCGACCTTGGCGGGCGATGACCTCCGGAGCCTGGCCTACTTCTTTGGCCTGCTGGACGGCGTCCAAGAGACGCTGCTGTGTGGCCTCGCAGCCTCGGAGCACGCGACCCTCGTCAAGAAGCTCAAGTCTGTCTGTCCGGGTGAGGGGAGACACGGGAATTTTGTTGTTGTTGTTGTTCTTCTTCTTCTTCTTCTTCTTCTTCTTCTTCTTCTTTTTCTTCTCCTTCTTCTTTTTCTTCTTCTTCTTCTTCTTCTTCTTCTTCTTCTTCTTCTTCTTCTTCTTCTTCTTCTTCTTCTTTTTCTTCTTCTTCTTCTTCTTCTTCTTCTGTTTCTTCTTCTGTTTCTTCTTCTTCTTCTTCTTCTTCTTCTTCTTCTTCTTCTTCTTCTTCTTCTTCTTCTTCTTCTCCTTCTCCTTCTCCTTCTCCTTCTCCTTCTCCTTCTCCTTCTCCTTCTTCTTCTTCTTCTTCATGTTTTCTCCTCCTCCTCCTCCTCCTCCTCCTCCTCCTCCTCCTCCTCCTTCTCCTCCTTCTTTCCTAGCATTAACTGATTGGCGCTCATATGACCTTATGCAGTTGCGAATGCTGTAATATCTTACTAAAACTAAACTAGCTTTAACTGATCGTTAGTACCAATTTGCTTTTTCTTATTCCATTAATATAGGGAAATGTTTCTTTCCAAGCAGTCTATAATGACGTTTTTCAACATTGTTCTTCCGTGGGTGGTTGGCAGGTGCTCTGGTGTGTTCAGTGCCTTCTTTTCTATCAACCATATATCATCCTTCTCTCTCCTTCTTTTCTTCATACGTTACTCTCCACCGACACCTCTAATCTGCGCCACTGACCTGTGTGGCCTATCTGTGGTGCAAGTGACATGACTCTTATTAAAGTTAAAATGCCGCAGGTGGTTGGTGGGTGCTCTGGTGTAATTTGCTACTTCCTTTCTTCAAATATCTATCGTCCTTATCTCTCCTCCTTTTTTGTGTATGTTACTCTCTTGTAACACCTCTGATCTTCGGTGGGTGGTTGGCGGGTGCTCTGGTGTAATTTGCTAATTCCTTTCTTCAAATATCTATCGTCCTTATCTCTCCTTCTTTTTTGTGTATGTTACTCTCTTGTAACGCCTCTTATCTTCTGGCGCTCATATGACCGTATGCAGTTGAGAGCATCGTAAAACCTCTACTAAAACGATCTGATCTTCGGCACTAACATGACCTCATAATTGTGTTGCAAGTGGCCGTAAAACGCTTACTCAAACAAAACAAGTGGCCGTAAAACACTTACTCAAACAAAACAAGAACTAAACTGCCACCAAACTTGGGCACTCACATGACCTATTTGTGTTGCAAGTGCTGCAAAACTGTTACTTCAACTAAAACCTGTGTTCCAGCCATCGACTACAAGCGCCTGATGGACGCGGACACGCCCCCTGTAGACGTCTTACAGCCCTGTCTCACCGCGGCCAACATCAACAGCTTGGCTAAACTAGCTTCACAAATACCGGACAAGGTTAGTAGTTGTAGTGTTTACTACTGTTTACCCCCCGGGGCAGTGCCACTGACTGTAGTGACCCCCCGGGGCAGTGCCACTGACTGTAGTGACCCCCCGGGGCAGTGCCACTGACTGTAGTGTCTTTAGGCCATTCCCAAAGGGGGGACATTTCTTGTTCATGCACAGTAGAATTGTAAATGGGCTGATTCATCATGTCATGCTCATAACTGTGCTTGATCTACAACAGGGAACTGCTGCTTTTTCTTTCCTAATCCTTACTATTGTCATTTTTTCCTCTACTTCTTGTGTATGTTTGTCACTCTCTTGTGACCTGCTATTTCCGGGGTGCCTTGATAGTCGAAGCAGACCTTGTGCTGTTGAAGCTAGAGAGGTGAGCAGTCTAAGTCTGATTCCCTGTAAAGACTTCTCTGTTGACACCCACCCCTTGACGCTCATATGACCTTATGCGGTTGCGAGCGCCGTAAAACTCTCTACTATTTTTTTTTTTAAATTCCTTCTGTTATGGCCACAGTGCCTCTTTACTTAAGTACACTTTGGACAAAGTAGTTCTGAGACGTCGACTTCTCGACCGCCTTCTTGTTTTTCGAGTTAGGCTAACGGACTCGTAATCGTGAGGTTGCGGGTTCGGGGGTTCGAGCCGACGTTGTGTCCTTGGGAAAGGCACTTTACATGAATTTTCCTCACTTCACCCAGGTGAGAATGGGTACCCGGCTATAGACAGCGAAAGATCTTGTCAGTTTGTTAGTGTTTAATCGGCTGCTTGCACAGTATGCTTCCCGGGAAACTGAGAATGTTTCGGAGTGTTCTATGGTCTGCTGGGGTAATAATATAGTGTAAAGCGCATAGAGCTTGCTGTCGAGTGGGGGTTATTAAACATTCTTAACCACACTGATGATGATTGTTATTATTAATCACTATTAGCAGTGGTAGTAGTAGTAGTAGTCGTTATAGTAGTAGAAGTCGAAATAGTTGCAGTAATAGTAGTAGTAATAGTAATTATTATTAAAATTAATAACCATTATGATAAGAATTAATTACCTATTATTACCAATTACCTATTCTGAAATGAACCCTCATGAAGAGGGGTGAGGAAGCATGGAGCACCCCGTCTTCCTAAGACCCCAGTTCTACCTTCAAGTAATTAAAGTAAGTAATTACATATTATTATGAATTTCGGAAATTATTCGTAATGACTGTAGCTATGACGCTCGTATCTCCCCAGCGTGGCGGTGTCCTTCACCCCAGCTCCCTGTACAGCAAGTGGGCCGGCCGGGTGTTCTGGGCCGACGCAGACGGGAAACCTCTGCCCGATACCATGGTTTGTCTCCACACTTGGTCGCCTCGGAACTGTTTTTGGCCACAGTGCCTCTTTACTTAAGTACACTTTGGTCGAAGTAGTTCTGGGGGGACGACTTCTTGACTGCCTTCTTGTTTTCAAGTATTTTTCGAGTGTTTTTTTTTTTTTTGGGGGGGGGGGGGGGGGTGGTATTGGTGACTGGAATGTGCATTAGGCATGTCACAGGATTTTTATTTTTAAAATATTTATAATAATTATAATAATTATAGTAATAATAATAGTAATAATTATAATAATAATAGTAATAATAATAATAGTAACAATAATAATAATTATAGTAGAAATAATAATTTTAGTAGTAATGATAATAATAGTAATAATAATAATAATAATTATAGTAGTAATAATAATAATAGTAATAAAAATAATAGTAATAACAAAAGTAATAATAGCACTTACATAGTGCATATCCGTACTGTGCAACATGTTATTATACCCTTTGCAACTATTACTTTTGTTTCTTAGAGCTCTCTCCCCCCCCCCACCCCCCACCTCCTTTCCTTCTTTTTGATTGAGCAGTTGTTGTTTTTTTTATTGCTGTTTTTGTTTGTAGCTTGCCCCTCAGGGATGTATTTTGTTTGGTATAACCAAAGAGTCTACATAACAAGAGGGGCCACTTCTCTCTTTGAGACAATTAAAAAAGTGTCCTCAAAATTCCGTGGCGCCCTCTTCACAAAAGCGCACCTTTAGCGAACAGAGTTATCCTACTTGAGTTTAAAAAATCAAAGTGAAACTAGCAAGTTTTTAAATAAATTTCGGAAGAATGCTTTTTTAAAATGGTTACGCTGACAAAAAAACCTCTTCCGGAGGAAAGGGTGATTGTTTTCTTCGTTTAATTTGACTTTAGAATGAAAGGTGAGAGGTCATTAAAATATAAAAAACTAAAACTCCGCACTGAACGAACCCGAACTGCTGATGAACAGCAGTCGATCTGCGCACGCAAGGAGGTGCTATTCCTATTCTTCTTCTGGAAAAACGAAAGAGAGCTTCAAAACAGACTGCAGCGCCATCTGAAGCAAAGAGCGGACTTCCGGCGGACACTTTTTTGGCTGAGTGGCCCATCTTGTTATGTACTATCTTTGGTATAACCAAACACCACACGTGCGTACATACCAGTGTTGATATGCATTCTTTTACTTTAATGAACAAACATTAATTATTGAATGTATGTATTTTGTATAAATGTGAGGCTTTATGGTCAAATCGGGCGCTCGTCAAAAAATTACGTGGAAGAAACTGTCACTTTTCCTCCTGTTTGGCAATTTTTATCGAATTTTGATTTTTTGGCTCAAC